ATGAAACAACATAATCAAAATCATGCTCTTTTTCAGGTGGAGGCGAATAAAAAAGCCCATCACATTGGGCCTCATATTTATATCATTTTATACGATTTAAAGTCAAGGTAGTAGATGAACGATGACTGAAATTTATTTGGTTTAGTGTGACCAGATTCAGCCCTACCTGAACAATGAAATTAAGCAGTTTTATGTACACGTATCTAGATAGCTTTAATGGGAGTCTTTATTAAATATAAAAATGCACAATAAAAAAAAATTTGGTCCTTACAACATCATGCACATATTTTTTTTTTTTAGCATAATCTGATTTCTATCCTATAGTGGTGCTAAATAGAAAATGCATTTCACTTCAATTCCGAACATGTCTATATTTTCTAAGAGCAATTCTTAGAAAATTGCAAGAGGTTATGTCTGAGGTCAAATGGGCCTGCAACAGTGGATTTCTTTATAGTATGAAATAGAGATCTCAGAATTGCAAGTAATAAATATGATTTTGATAAGCACTTCTACACAGGAAAAGAAGAAATTCCTAAAAAGTTTTCCGTGAAGCACCTTCCTCTTCATGTCCTGTATTACTCCATACTTATAAATAATAAAAAAGGAGACTGATAACAGTAGCTTTATGTAAGCAAGCTTAGAAATCACGCTCAGATAAGTGCTTTTGACCTAAATCTTGTAGCGCCTCGATCTGACATATAACCCCACAACTGTGAAATTCTGTATGAGATTTAGCAGTTTGAAGCTGCCAACTGACCCAGCCATAAAGCAGCCAGAGATAAGGATTTAAGGTACGATATGATACAATTAGACATTCACCTCCTATTTATTTCAGTCCATTTCAGTATTTAACCTACTTAAAAGTTGCAAGCTTTTTATTAAAATGTAAATGCTAGTGTGCCGTATATTTATAGGCAGCTAACAACAACAAGAAAAGACTCTCATAAATTAGATTTCTATGAATGAAAAGGGTAAACAGGAGATGCTTCTGCAAAACTCTTCTAGACGTGCAGAGATAAAGGATGGTTCTACCACACAAAATAATCAGATACAAAAATAGCTGTTCAGAAACAGCACACCTAAGGAGTACTTTAATCAAACATTTAGGTTACCTGCCAAAAGGACCATGATCTCTTCAAAATGCAATGCGGATTAAAGTGTTATCTAACACAAGCAGAAAACTAACCTTGGAGTGGAAGTTCGAAATGTGTTCATCATAATTTTCATGTCTTTGGACAGAGAAACCAGCTTTTTCAGCTAGATTGCAAAACTGGTTTAAAGTATTCCCTCGGAGTGGAGCAAATACCATTGCTTTTCCCTGGAACATTAAAAAGAGAATTTATAAATTTTTAAAAATGGAAGGGAACCAGATATAACATACACCTGACTAAGCTTTTAATATACTCAAGCTGGAAAAGTCAATTGTTCTCTTGGCAAAATACTAAAATAGGGTAATATAAATAATTGTTCAAAACATGCAAGATTTCTGTGATTAAACAAATGCAAAATAGAAAGTAATAAATAAATATTTTCATTAGCAAACTGCCAACTGCCATACATCTGCTCCTTTTCATATAATAATGGTGGCTATGAATTACCAAAATAAAACACAGAAAGAGCATACAAAACATACACTCAATGCAAAATCCATTTGATAGCTCATGACCACGCAAAGACTGTAAATAATGATTTTCTTTTTTCACTCTCACACATTGAAGAGTACCTCCCATTTGCTGTCAGTGGAATTATAACAGTGTAAAACAAGGCAAAATGGGAGGCAAATCAGACCCAATCATTAATTTTTTAAAGATATTTTAAACTACCTGAGCAGTGCAACCAAATTTGACCTTAAATTGGGAAACTGCATTTAAAGCAGGACTTAATGTTCTTGCATAGTAATTCTGGATCTTTCAAGATGACCAGGCCATTTATGATGCCCAGGCAACACATTATGGTCCGTTAGCTAAATTTTTGTTCATCCTTCTGTATTGAAGAAAAAAAAAAAAAAGACTGTACCTTGAACCGATAGATTTTAGACACTCTGTGCAAAGTACTAGCCCAAAACCTAACCTACTTGATATAGCATCTCTTGAAATCTTATTTGCAAAATTAATTCTAATTGGCTGAATACCGTGTTCTGTCACATGGAATGAAAACTGCTTGAAGAGCTGTAAACAAAGGTTAATATCAGCCAACAGCGTATCACGCTGATGGGAGCCACAAAGTTTACTGTGAGTTCTTGTATTTAACTTCTATATTAATGAGAGCTAAGACTGATTTGTGAGGTACTGTAATCAACCGAAGAGACAAAAAATATTTTTAGGGATCTGAAGGAGTCACAAAATGATTAGATGCTGTAGAAGAATATTTGGCTTGAGAAAACGCAATTTTGTGTACCAGAGGAAAAGAGTGATCAGAAGAGAGAACTTCAGTGGAAACTCTGGAAGGTGACAGTGCTGACACAGATACTTAGTGAGGAGGATAGGGAACAAATCTGTGTGTTACAGCTCATGCACACATAAGCTGAGACAACGGGCAGTGAGGCAGCAATAAAAACTCTACGTCAGTATCTATGGTACTAATGTGTACTTAAAAGATTCCAATCATTAATACCACAGCGCTGTATTTATTCGCACAATGCCTCTGTGAGATAGGGAAATACCGTTATCCTCATCCTTCTCATGGGAAATTTAAGTACAAAGGAGACCTAGGGCAATATCCAAAGCAACTCCTGTTCATTTGTGTAGCTATAACTTTAATTCTGTGGCTAAATACGAGGTGCAAATGGGTGTAACTCCCACCGAAGGCACTGGAATTGCTTATGTAAATGTTAGGTCTGAATATAGGCTCAGCTCAGGATGAAAAACATTAAACACAGGAAATTCACCATCAATGTGAAATGTGCTGTAACTTCCCTCACATCCTTGGCAGCCTTTAATGTCACCAGATAGAAGTGGGCAGTAAAGGGAGCCTTCAGCCGAGGATCCTCCTCCTCCTCCTGCTGCCATCTCATGCTCCCCAGAACATTGTTCTGCAGAGACCCTTCCTGGCGTAAGAAGGATGAGACTCCTCTGGAGTCCCTCATCTTCACAAGCAGCTTTACAGAGAGGTCGCTGTAACGGGAAACATGTCCTCAACCCAGGGCTTACTGACCACACGATGCACGTGGGCACTACAACAACAACATTAGACCAGTGGGCTGGATCTACACTTGATGGAATATCCTAAGGTTGTTTAATCTGAAGTTCGTAATTCAAAAGTGCCTCCCAGTTTGGGATGACGTTTAAAGTTCAGAATGGCCTTTCCTCAGCCAGGAAAATACTTCCAGTAAACTCATGAAGAAAACACGGAGGAAAATGTCTATTTCAATTACAATATTTTGAAGTGTCACCAAAACGCTGCAATTAGATAATGGGACAGACGTTCATATTTTGGACATGGCTACGACTAAGTTTACTCATAAATCATTGTTAAATGCGGTCTTATTTGCTGGTACTAATCATGGTTCAATAGCATCCGATTGACTTAATTGGGATTTTGAATGGATAGGCCACAGAAGAATCAAAGCCTTCATAAAAGATGTTCTTAATTTCTTAATTAGGGAAGTACGCAAACAAGCGATTGCTTATTCTGAGATTGAAATTAAAAGCCCATTTTAATGACAGCAAAAAAAGAAAACTTAAAGTTGGCAAATCAAGTAGCTTGCTTATAAGAGGAATAAAATTCCAGTGCCTAATTCTTGGAATTGGTTTACAGGTGACATATGCCTTTGTAACAAATTCAGATAAGAAATTTCAGCCCCCCGTAACTCTGCGAGCTACTCATTTCTGCCCACATGAATTTCTGGTCCTCTCTTCCTGTACCAATACAACTGGGCATGGGGCCATACTATGAATCAGATAACTGAAATGACCAGAGTCCTGTTTGCACGAAAACAAAAAGTTACCCAAAACACATCATTCTGTACCATAAGGATTCTATTAGCCACAAACATCCTTAATGAAAAAGAAAATACTGCAGATAAATTATTTGTCTTAAAATTTACAGTAAGAATAGATTATGAATACTATTTAAAATTCAGGCTGCCTTGTCATCATAGCTTTTTAAATCAAATTCTCTGGCTGGGCAATATAGACCACCAGACCACGATTAGCTATGAGCAGGAGACAAAGCAACTAACAGCTATTCTTCCGCTCCAGCCGGAGGCTCTGGCCAGGTCACCTCTTACTCACTTCTCTTCCTGCCACTCATACTCCTCTCCCCCAGCGTCCTCTCACGCAGCCAGCCCAGGGGCCTGTGGGGCTAACTGAAGAACTAGGTGTGGACATTGAGCTGGGCTGACAAAAAATACTTTTTGCATTTTTTTTAAACTGGGATCAGCTTTGTGTTCCAGATCATTTCTGATCCCCCAAATTATTGCACCCTGAAAACTGATGGTACATCAAGAAAGTCAGAATGCATCATTCTGGGCAGGAGCTGCTTAACCTCCCCTTGCTGCCACTGACTTTTTCCTCAGGGTGGCTACATTTCTCCTGTCTTCCTGGCAGCCTTGTCCCACAGCTCATTAAAATAATTCAGTCTTAAGTAACTGGCCTTAAGTCACTCAGGAAAGTCTATGATAGAACCAAGAATAGAAACCTGATCACTCTTAGCAAAGAATGGGATTACTTACATGACTAAAATGACTCGGTTTCTTAAGCCTTTGCACATTTGGGTCTTCTATTCCTTTTACAGAGAAAATCTTTTGTGCAAAAAGTACAATATAATTTTAAAATGAAGTTTGGAGAATGCATTGCTTACATGGAATACTTTTGTTTTGAAATGGAAAGTTTACCTTACTGGAATATTTGTATGTTAAGCAAGTAGAATTCCTGTTTCAAATTCCTACTTACAGCAATTACTTCACATGTTTTCTCATATTCTCATTTTGATATCGTCTTTAAAAAACCCCTTTTTTTTGAGATTCAAGATTATTTGTTGGGTATAAGTATATGCATATAACAGCTTTTTATTTTTTTAATTGCCTGTAGGTCTCTGATTTAACAGCCTGATCAACTGAGATGGGTAAAACATTTCCTCAGTGACACTCATGTAGAATATGTAAGCATTTTATGAAGAGCTTTATTTCATTTTGTTCTAAGGTATAAACCATGTAAACACAGGGCTTATTTAATGGAAAAAAAGTTTTAGGCTACAATATATGCATAAGGGTTTTGTTCACTGTATATAAACAGAAATGAAAAGAAAAAATATTCTTTCATAATAAATAAATACACAATGACAAAGGTTACAATTGAAGGGATTACAAATGACAGAAGCCAACATAAAAACTTTCAATATCGTACTTTTACTTTAATATGAAGACATTATTATCAAAGGAAAATACTTGAGAAACGCTTTGATAAAAATAATCTCACGCTATCTTTGAAGCGGTTTCATTTATTTTACTACCCACTGTGTTCCTTATCAGAAGGCCAAGTATAAGAAGTTTCCTAGTTTATGATTAGGAAAGAATCTGATAGATTAGAAGACTCAATTGAAGTTGGACATAATAAGTATTAAAGTATTACATGACATTAATCCTGCCATTCCATTACTCTCTCAATCATTGTGCACAGACTAATTATTCTGAAGCCAGTGTTCAGGAGAAAATAGAAACATACTTACACTGGGTTGGAGTAATCTCTTTATTGCATCAACAAGGCTAGCTCTGTACCGGTCCAGAAACAGGCTGACATTGAGAAGAGAACAGAATCCAGATTAAAATGGGTTTTCAATTCTAATGATACTAATGCAGATAAGTACAAGGCTAATTACATATGTTTACACAATGCTGTAAAAGAGAAACTGTGGTCTACATTTCTGTCCAGTTCAGGTACTTTTAAATGCTGAAAAAAATATATAAAACCAAATATAATCTAAATCAAAGCTAAAACATCAGCATGAAACAGATATATAGCAGCATGAAACAGATATAGCTGAAATTCACATATCACACATGCTAGCTATTAAAATGCTACCATATCAGAAATAGGATCAATATACAAAGTTAACATTTTTCATGTTTTTATATACAAGGGTGGTGGGGTGGAGTTTTTGAAAGTATCTTCTATTGTATTTCAGGTGTTATTACTAAAGGCATTGTTTTTCCTTTTCACAGTTATGGCATTAATTCATTAGTATCTATTATGCATATTTGTTCTATTTATATCTATCTATCTATCTATCCCTATCTATCCCTATCAAGATTTACAAGCCCCTACCTCCTCTCTCCCTCAAACACTGTTCAAATACAGTGACCCAGATCGTACAGAGTTGTCCTCTCTCAAGAGTGAAATCCTTCATCTCCAGCATGGGTCCCACAGCAGCAGAGTCAATTTTCCCATGCAATGTTGCCAACATGCTCAGCCCTATTTTGGTGTGATTACCTCATGATTTGAGGGGATAATTCATTCTTCATGCCCCTCAGTACCTTAATGTATATACTAATGGTGGCAACCAGGGTGCCAATCACACTCGACTAGATATTTGTGGACATGTAGTTACTGTGGATGAGAGTGCATTTACAATGGTTAGTGAACAGCCATCGGAGAGCAACTGATGCCTTTCAGTCCTTACTGCCATGGGCTTCATTTATATTGGTGATTCAGATAAGAAACTCTATCAAGCAGCCCACAATAACGTGATTTTTTTTCATTATTCATGTCTTCATTATTTCATTTCTTCATTATTTTTCATGCTTTCTCTGTAATAAAACTGCTTCCCAGCCTGTGTTAACCTCAAGTTCCACACTACACAGCATTTTGACCATTCTTTATGATTCTTTTCTATACTTCCCTTTTCTTTATTCTCAAACATCTCTTTCTGAAGAGATGTGGGTAATTTTTTTCCAGGTTTGAAATTACTAAAAGAATATAAAGAATCTATGCAAACAGGGAAGAGAAAAAAGTGGTCTGCCAACCATCAAGGACAGAATACGTGTGGATATTTAGGTAAGGCCACTCCACAGCTACCAAGGAGAATACAATATTACATATCATAGGGTCAAGCAGCTGTGTGAGAGCTGTGAATTTTTGCTGCTTGGGGAAAAAAAAAAAAGGCTATCGGAAAACTTGTCAGTGACAAATTTTCATCAGTAAAAACTGGCAGAATGTCACATTGTTCAGAAAATATGGTAGACTGGGTATCCGTACATTTCTTAAAGAACATTTCATACAGCAGTATGACCTTTTGAATTTCTTCTTAAGATATCGAAATACTAGCTAACAATTTCTCTGATAGCCTGCCCACAAGAAAATTTAAACTTTAGCAATTGGCATGATGGCTGCCTCTCAGCTTTGATTAATATTACTGGAAGAACCTTACTGAAAAAATGCTCGTTTAAATTTAATTCATTGAAACCGCAGCTGATATCTCTAATGTCTCCTGGGAGTTTTAATCACATTCACCTCAGGAATATCCCTATGCAGATAGGTACCATAAGACACTACTTCACCAGGAACTTAGCCACCCGCAGAAGAGGTGGAATACAGCGCATGAGTCCTCTCCCAAAAGAATCGCTAAAAATAATTAATTTTCTTCAACATGAAACATCGCAAGCACGCACACATTTAAGACTTGCTGAGATCCTGTGTAGACAGAAGTGCATTCCAAATGAAAAATGCAGTTATAATATTTTTATTTTTGAAAGCAGTGTAGTGAAAACACAGTTTTGGGGCAGCTCACCAGTGCTAAAATTCCTTTTGCATGGACCTGCATACCATTCTCTTTTTCACAATGAGATAGGGACACAACTGCTGCTACCCATCTTGTTCCCTTACAATGAGAGAACTACAGGCCTTTGTTCACCAGAAAGAAACTGAGTGTCTGAGAACTGAAAATGGTTACAGGACCTGACAAGAGATTAGGCATCTTCAATAATACCTTTTCTGTCCGACTCCCACTTGATATTTCAGTGGTATGGAGGTAGCCTCTTGGCCCTCTTAGCTTAGGAAACCCAGATAACCTGGGACAGTCACCCTGGCTCTGCTCCCAAGTTGTCCCTGCCCTCCAAAAGCCCTGTTGCTGCGAACAGCACCAACTTCAACTGAAAATAGCCTCCAACATTGCGATTTCCAGTCTGCTGCTCTGAGCCGCATACTCTGACCAGAGGGCGCAGAGAAGGCTGGAAGCAGTGTTAAAGCAATGCAGCGACTCCAGGGAACATCTATATCCTCCCTCCGAGTCAGAGGATGCCTTGAATGAAGAAAATCCTGAAGAAGTCACTAGATAATCTGTGCTGCAGACAGGGCCAGTGCAGGATTTGGCCCACGCAAGGAGATTTAGTCATGCAATTTCTCTTACCAGTAGAATTTGTATACATACAAATACATTTAGCATACTGAAAGTGTCCCCGAGAGAATCCTTTAAAGCTCACAACAGCTCAGTTAAATTAAATAGGGTATTGTTCTAAACCATTCTCACTCAGTCCTCACACCTCAATTCAAATTTGGCTTAGCTCGCCATTACTTTAGTGGTAACGTCTCATGTTTGTGTAGCAAGGACGCTGTGAAAGCAGTAGCTGGGGACAGGAATAGCAAGGGTTTCTCAGGGCAGCAAGGAAGTTTCCGATCACAGCAGTAGAGAGGCAAGAACACAGTTTATCACAGTTTATGATTCAGCCTTTGTGTAGGCATTGCTCTTAACCAGTAAATCTGGCTGAACGGGCAGGCAATCTCATCACCTCTCTCTTCTTAGGGTTTTTTGTTTGTTTTTTAATTTTAAATTGCCATTAAAACCAAAATGACAGCTTATACCAAAACTGTATGGAAGTAACAGCAAGCCACAAAGAAACAAATTACAAAACCAAGTAGATTCTCAGTTTGCTTCACGCTGATATCCTTTTATCTTGTGCCTCGCAACAAGGGGCATACATTTGTATTTTATAGGCTATGATGTGAACTTATTTTTCTTTTTGCATACTTTGCAATTGGTAAAAAAGCTGAGTTTACAGGTGTACTTCAGACATGATTACATTGATGTATAGTGCCTAGTGTATAGAGCCATTTATCTTTTTGTTTGCCTTCAACTACACGGCTGACATAAACTGAAAAAACCCTTACTTCCATGTCGTCAGATTCCAATGCACTTGAAAGTGTGTGCAAGAAATCAGGCTTAAAATGAATAATAAATTCAAACTGAGAAGGACAGAGATCTTAGTGTATTCCTGTAAAAAGATTTCCTTATATTAAATGAAATACTAACAGAGACAAAATTGACGTATTTTAAGATTTTAAAAGAATACTTTCAATTCAGTTCTACATTCCCAGTGAATCCACAGCTCCCCATGACTTCAGCAAAAATCTCAGCAGTGAAAGTAATGTGGGATACACCATCCTCCCCATGCCCCTGGCCTCTGTTGTACATATACTTATGCACGTGCCAAACTTCAAGAATATAATCAGTCTAACTAAGTAAAGTGGGATATTATAAATTTCCAAAGGGATATGGGGATCTAGACCTTATACTGTCTCTACATTAAAATTATTGTTGAAAACTTGTTTCATAAGAACACGAAAGACATTTTTCTATTTCCTCAGTCTTACTGGCCTTGACTCTCTCCTTGGGTTAAAAAATTTCAGCAATTTTTTTTAATAAAGGATATACACTTACATTTAAATAAGCTGAAATCTAAGGCTCTCAAGAGCTTTGGAAGAGTCTTGGGTTTGACTTGTTCATACAGGCACCTGTTATTTCTCCTCCTCTATCCATACTCACTCTTACAATTCCAGCACATCCATGACTTTATATCCACAAGTGTAGGTCAAATGAAAGTCTAAAATTCTGGCAGCCCTCACCTAGCCTTAAAATTCCCCCTCAAAAATATGAGGTGGGTGGATATGCTTTAAAAATTCCATTATTTCCAGTATTTTTTCCCAGTGTATCCTTCTTCTAGGTGTGGCTTCACCAAGAATTTTTCTTCCTTATTTTTATCTCATAGTTGACATTTTACGAGTTATTT